CCTCGAGAGGTCGTCCTCGTCGACCTTCTCGGTGTTCTTTGCCGCCACCGCGTGCGCTGCCGGCTGCGGAAGCCCCACTGACACCTCCAATCCATAATCATCGGCCACCTGCTGCATCAAGCTGTTGACTTCACCCTCAGGTGTGGAAAGCGAAGTGCTTCCAGCCATGGAACTCTCCATGAACTCCGCCTGGACCTCCATATTCACAAACTGTTTCTCAAATTGATCCATCGTCTCAGACATCTTCTGTAAATTACCGGTGGCAAGCGTAGATTCCAGAGATTTCACGATTGACGACATGGACTTGCTGATCGTGGTCATCTTGGCCTGGGTCTCGAGCCTAGCGACCACGGCGTCGAGGCGCGAGGCCAATCTGAGATAATTCATCTGCTCGGTGCGTTTGCGGATGGCGTTTTCGGCGTAGATTCGACCGCCGTCCATGTTCCCTTTCTCGATTGCTTTCTTGACCTTGAGTTTCTCGGATTTCTCGTCTTTCTCGCACTTTCGTGCTTGGCGTTGGAGGCTCTTGGCCGTAAACTTCAGATCCATAATCTGGTTCAGCAATTTCTCTGTGTTCCCCATGTTTCCGATCTAGATCAAGCTCTACGGTTTAGAGCGAGAGAGAAAGATGATGATGATGAGGGTTTTGCGAGAGATTTCGATTTGAGGATCGAATGGATGGCTCTTCGACTTGTGTGTGAATTGTTAGTGTTTGGTCCGAGAGAAACTTCGTCCCTGGTTTAGGAAAGGGATATTAGCGCTCACTTTTGGGAGTTTTGATCGTATGTGGTCGAAAACGATTAGGGCAAATTACACTTTCTACCCAGAAAGAGTTTTATAAAAAAATTATATTTGTAAGATTAAATTTTTCACTTTTTAGTCTTAATTTATATTTATACTACTTATAAATATTAACATTTGTAAAAAAAAAAATTAATTTTTTATTTTATCCTTAATTATTATAATAAAATCAATTAGAACCACCTGTACACTTTTATTTAATTTTTATTTTTTACTCATATTTAACATTTAACTTATTGTGAACTCTTTTATAAAAATTTCTAAATTTTTTTGAACTCATTTATTAGTAGTATAGTTATATATAATTTTATATATATATATGAAAAAATAAAATCTTATATATATATTAAATTATTATACACATGAAGTTAAAATTTCACAATTAAATATGTGTTATATTTTATTTTTTGGTGTGTAATAATATTATAAGTGATTTAATCAATTTATTTAACAAAATAAAAAAATAATTCTATAATATAAATAACCGATTAAGTACTCAAAAACTTATATAATAAATTAAAAATTTTTTATTTAAATTTATATACATGTCACATTGCTAGTATATTTAAAGTGGTGCAATGTGGTCCTATGGTTAACTTTTTTTGCCCATTCCATAAATATTAATGGGGAATTTTTTATGGAATGAGTGATCAAAACTAAATGTTGAACCGCATTGCAGAGAAAATATTCAATGCAATGGTTATACCATGTCAATATTAATGACATAGTATCACCAATTAATAATAAAGTTTCAAATAGACAAAATGAACCCCACTTAGATAGTTATTGGGTTACGTGTAAGAATATGCTTTAATTATTGGCTTACATAGACAGGTACCTATTGACTAGTGTGAGGTTCGTTTTCCTATTTATTTACACATTATTGATTGATAATACCACGTAATAATGTTGACGTTATTTTTTCAACATTGCGATACTCTGCACTTGGAACGAGTTTAATTGCGATTCAGTTAAGAAAGCGAATGGTAATTACTGGATTATAAAATATCCATTGCCGAAAATTCAAATTGGATCTCCTTCTGTATCTCACAGCAGTAGTTAGTTCAGGCCTTCATTTGCCAGCCTCACAGATAATTTCATTACTCTCGGGAGAAATATCACGCCCCTCATTACAAGCTTGTACTCATGTGTCTATTAGTGCATTCCTATTGTATTAAGTCCATATCATTTGTATAATTAGATATTTCTCTCTTTGTTCCTAAATATCTATTATTTTACACAATTTTTTTTATTTCACAATATCTATTGTTTAATGAAACTATAGTATAATTAATATTTTTTCTTCCAAATTTACCCTTAACTTTTCAATGCATTAAATTTGATGGAGGCTAAGTGCTTTTCATATTCCTTTCCTTCCAAATACGTATTGAATAAGGGTATTTTAGTCTTGTGCAATTATTTTTTACTCATATTAGAGCTATTTAATAGATTCATTAATTCTTGTGTAAAAATCTTAAATGACATATATTTAGGAACAGAGAAAGTATCACCTAAATCAATTCCATCCGATCATAATTCAATTGGTATATCTCATGTAATAAATGGGATTGATTTCTAATTATACAAGATTTACAAATGAGAAGATTATCAATTAAATTATCGATAATATATCATTTATCTACATGATATACAAATTAAATTATTGACGGAATATCCTATGGATGGGAATGCATTTGATTGTAATTTTTGTATTGTTCACTAGAATAGTTCTCTCATTATCCACATGTTCTTTCTCTTATATATATATATATATATATATATATATATATATATGATAATACATCATCCCTAAAGGGTAAGAGATTCCATCATTTTTCAAGGTATCAGCGCTTCCCAAAGACCCTCTTAATCAATTTTTTTTTCAGTCATTCATCGTCATGTCCTCCACCACCATTGTTTCTTCTTCTTCTACTGCAATATTTCTTCCATGGAAACTACTACCTTGCCCTCTTCCTCTCCATCTCTCTATCTAACTCACTCAATCTCCAACATTAAGAAATTACATTTCCATTTTGTTGGATTTTTCCAATTACCTTCTTTGGCGTGAATTTTTTCTGCCCGTTCTCAAGAGTCATGATGTCTACGGCCATGTCAATGGTTACCGATGCTTCTGGTAACCAAGTTCCCATTTCGGCATACAAATTTTGGTTGTAGGTTGATTATATGGTTTCTCTCTTGGATCCAATCCATTGTTTCTTCTGACATTCTCCATGCCATCATCAATCCAAATTCTATTACTTCTTCCCGCGAGGCTTGGCTCACCATTGAGCAACTATTTCATGATCAGGTTAATTGTCGAGTTTTGCAACTGAATGCAATTTTATCATCATCCAAAAGGTAATCTCATCATGACTGTTTATCTTCAGCAACTGAAATCCATTGTTGATTCCCTTGCTTCCGTTGGTAATCATATTTTTTACACTGATCTTGTTATACAAGCCTCGTCAATCTTCCTTTTGATTATGAAAGTGATGTGACCGTCATCTCCACTCGCATCTCTTTCCTTCATTTGTCGAAGATCGATCTCTTCTTTTCTCTTCATACATGAGATTCAACTACAACAGAAGGCGAAGAACACCATCTCTCCCTCATCTACTGCCTTTGTTGTCAATCGTGGAGCTAACAATTCGGGTTCTCGCGACGGTAGGGGTTGTGGTCGATCTCATTCTCATAATGATCATCGTAGTAATCATTCATCTTCATGTGGTCGTGGCAAAAAATTTTCCACTAGACATAGCGAATATCATAATTCCTATTTTTCCAATTCCCAATCTTTTTCTTATCACAACTCTCAAAAAAGTCATGGTTCTTCGATTTTGGGTTCTCGGCCTTCGTTCCCACCACCAACGTACCACCCTCATTTTTCTCCAAATTATCCACCTCTACAATGTTAGTTGTGTTTCAAGTTCTATTACTCGACTTCAAAATGCCCACAAAATTTCAAAGCCTTTATGGCCGACACCAACTCCTCCTCTTTTCCCACTTTTTCCATGCATGAGTCGTTTGATCCGAATTGGAAGCCGGATACTGGTACTTCATCCCATATGATGCCTCATACATATACTTTATCTTCTTGTACACTGGTTTTGATAATGTGCAAGTTAGTAATGGTCACCTTTTACCCATTACTCACACTGGTCATTCATCCATTCACTCCCATAACTCTTCTTTTGATCTCCGTAATGCTTTTGTTGTTCTAGAAATTCAGAAAAAATCTTCTTTCTGTAAAACAATTTACCTTTGACGATAATTGTAGTATTCATTTTGATCTTTTTAGTTTTTTTATCAAGGACCTCCGGACGTAGAGGGTAATTCTTAGTTGCAATAGTTCTGGACCACTTTATCCTATTAATCCTTCTGTAGTTCGTGTTGAATCCCTGGTGTCTTCCTTTACTGGGTCTCGGGTGTCTCCTCAAATTTGGCATAAGCATCTGGGTCATCTGGGTTCTAAGATTTTGTCTTTTCTTTTAAATAATGGCTTGTTACCTTCTTCACGTAATCTTATTGCTTGGATTATTTGTCAGGCTTGTCATTTGGAAAAACATGTAAGATTGTCATTTAATGAATTTCATGTTCGACTAATCCGACATGACTCGGACCTGAAATTTACACGGATCGTCTTCGAGTCGAGTCACATGACCCAACCCACCGAACATTACCTAACACGCCTAATTAATTTAGAAATATCTTAAAACAATACAAATATTCAAAGCATTACAAATCTCAAACCCATTAACTTCATTACAATTCATCAACTTCAAAGCAAAATAGAGGGCCTGATTCGCCTGAACATGTGCTACGAAAAAAAAAAATTTGTGTTGCAAAAAATTTTAATCTACAACTCTAAAGAAAACAAAATGAAGGGACAACCATCCATACAACCAACTTAATGTGTAACATTCATACCAGAAGAAAAAGACAAAAAAATACAAAAATACGGTAGGGTTATAATTTAATTTCTTCATATAAAATATAATTTCTAAAAGAAACAAATATACAATAACCCTAACTTAGTTTTAGGTATGTAAGTGGAGAGAGAGAGAGAGAGAGAGAGAGAGAGAGAGAGAGATCTATGATGGAATGAACTTCGTCTTGGTCTTGTTTGAAAGTGAAAGATTCAGAGTAGAGAGAGAAAGAGAGAGCTGAGAGTGAAATACTGAAATTTCCTTATTTACTTGGACAATCGAGTTATATCTAGCGGTGATGCCTGGTGGGGAGTGATTCACAATGGTTTATGGTAGCGGTGATGACTGGTGGTGAGTGATTTGTAGTGGTGGTCACCAACAGTGAGAGATTCCAAGCCAATAGGTAAGGGAGGGAGACCTACAGAGGGAGCAGAGATGCGGGCATCTGAAGTGAAAATGGGAACTTGTGAAGTGAAAATGTGAAGTTAGGGTTAGGATAAAAAAACTTTTTTTATACAGTGTCGGGTGAATTTCGGGTCCAAACCGGTTAAGTGGGTGGGTTTGTGTCAACTCGATTAAATACACCAGTAATGTTACATTGATTAAATTTTGAGACTAAATTTAGAGTTCAAATGACATGACAACATATTATTTAGAATCTTTATTTGGGTTCAAATGACATGACATCAAATAAAAAAGCGCATGACAACTATCATGTCATTTAAACTCTAAATTTAATACTAAAATTTGGTCAGTATAACATTACTGAGTCAATCGAGTCAATTTCAAGTTGAAGGGATTGAATCCGAATACAACTCATTAATACTTCGTGTTATGAGTCATGTCATAAACAGG